TTTTTTTTTGAAACAACGCTTATATACGAACAAGCCGGGCAGGCGAGAGCATGAGAAGGCCTCCGTTTGTTGATCTCTCGCATCGAACACATACATGTACATACATTATTGAGAAGAAATTACTAGACAGAAATCGTATGTCGCCATTGATTCATTCATCTGTATCAGTTAGAACTGTTCAAAACATGAGAAAAAAAAAGACTTTTCACTTGACCCCTTTTAATTTATCTGATTATTTGATATGATCTATCTTTTTTTTTAGCCTAATTTCTTCTTCTTATCGTACATATTTATCATAACATGGCTGATCGTAGTAGTGATCAAACCGTTATTCGTCGCACAATAATCGAACGTGGCTTTCGAGCTGCTAATGATACTCAACCTGGTGGTCGTGCTGCTGTTGAAGCAATGCGTAATTTTCATCATCAACATGAAGAAGAAAAACGTGAAATGCAAGAACTCAACACAAAATTTGGTGCCTATCTTGATCGGGTTAAATTTCTTGAAACACAAAATCGTAAATTACAATCTCAACTTGATGAATTAAAACAAAAATGGGGTAAGTGATTTTTTTTTCACTCAAAACAATTATAAAAAATATTTTCTTTTCTAAAGGTTTTGATTCGGGTAAAGTTAAAGAACAATATGATCAAGCATTAGTTTCATTACGAAAACAAATTGATGATGTTACACGTGATAAAGCTTTAGCTGAATTACGTGCTAAACGTGCTGAATATGATGCATCTTTAATAAAACATCAAACAGATTTTGCCAATGAATTGGTTAATCTCGATCGTAATCGTTTTGCTATGCTTAAACAACAACTTGAAGGTAGTGGTTCAGAATTAGATGCCTTACGAGGTCGTTTTGAAGATAAAAAACAAGAGATTGAAAGAAGTAAAAATGAAGTTAAACGTCTATTGGAACAATTAGAAAATTTGAAAAATGAATTTGATAGTGAATCAATGGGACGTGTTATGATACAAAATGAATTACAAACTTTAGAAGAACAATTAGCTTTTATGAAAGCAATTCATGAAGAAGAACGTAATGAATTGGCTTCACTTGGAACATTACCAATTGATGTTAGTCAATTTTATCGAACAGAATTAACACGTGCTATTGCCGATATTAAGAATGATTTTGAAGCACTTTCACAAGCACAACGACGTGAATTAGAAGGTAAAAATTAATTGAAAAGATTTTTATATTTATTTATTTATTTATTTATTTATTTATAGAATATTACAGAATTAAAACAGAGGAAATTCGTGAACAAGCAGCTGAACAAAAACGTAAAATTGATGAAGCACGTCGATCTGGTGCTGTTGAAGTTATGGATTTATCATCATTGAAATCTATGTTATCAGAAAATCGTGATAATTATAATGGATTACAAAAAGAACATGCAGATTTATCAAATCATCTTCGTCAATTAGAAGAAGATTTTGAACGAATTTCAGGTGAACATAGTCGAGCACAAAATGAACGTGATCGTGAATTAGGCGATTTACGTAATCAAGCTGAACAACGTGAACAAGCTATTGCTGCTGTACTTGAAAATAATGTTTCACTTAGATTTGAAATTAATACATATAGACGTTTACTTGAAGTTGAAGAAGGACATCTTCAAAGAATGGAAGGTGGTGATTTATCGGGTGGACGAGGTGGAGGTGGCGGTGGCGGTGGTGGAGCTGCATCATCATCGTCATCTTATCATTATCAAACAGGATCATCAGTTGGTGGTGCTTCAGCTGCTCGGTTTGATACTCAAGCATCGGATGTATCAACGAAAAAAATGACCGTACAAAAATCGGCTCGAGGTTAGTTAATTTTCAAAATTCGTTTTTCCAGATTCTACCATAATATTTTTTAGAATATTATTTTTAAAAATCGAGAAAAACCATATCTATTTTCATTCTTAACCCTTTATTTATATTTCCTGTTATAAATCCTATATGATATTTCTTCTTTTTATTATTGCTGCTGTAAGTAAATCGGAATAATAATAATAATAACAATCGGAAAGCAGCATGTACTTCTTTTTATCTCTCCTTTTGCACGAGATACTTGAGAACGGGACTAGTCTTATTCGTTTGATCCCTTGTCATTTTTCTTGATCTCTGTCATCCCGCTCGTCGTTCGTTGTTGATAATGATCATGATGAGACGTTTTGTTTGTTCCCGCTCATCGCTCCTACCGGCCAATTGCTCCCATTTTTTTTTCTGGACAGCGACAGTAAACATTCATCTCATTACGCATGATTAGTCGCAGATGGACGGTTATAATTACAACAAATGTATACCAAATATTACATCTTGTTCTCATCTAATAATTAAAAATCATATTTTTTCAAATCAATGAACAAACCAAAACGAACTTTAATAAATTTCACACTTTTAAAAACATGAAATTTTCATTCATTCAATCAAAACATATTATTCTAAAAGATTTCTTTTTTTCTTATATTGATTTTTCAACAGGCTACTCTTGACTGCATGTTATTTTTATTTTTTAGACTACTAAACATTAAATCTACATAAACAGACATTCTCCTTCTTCGTATTTTTTTTTCGTTCTAAGTATAAGTGTGAGCTTTGTTTTTTTTATAATCTTATTTTGTTTTTTATTTGCTCGTCAAATTACACATAGCGGGAGCTCATGCTTTGAAAAAAAACACATACATACATACATATATATATACAAATATCAATAAACAAATAAATAAAAAACCTTGATTATATTTTTTTGCTTCACTACATTATGATGCATAACTAATGATTAATTTATTCGTGTGTATCATTGATTAAAATAATATGTATATTTTGTTTTTTCAACACCGTCCACTCTCGTCATCGTTTATCATTTAGCACGCCTATGTCCACTATATTTAATGCGTGAGATATATTTCTTCTGACTACTACTACTACCCAAATATTTAGTCTTCTTCATATTATCAATGAAACAGCATGAAATAAAGGAATAGTATATATATTTTTTTCTAAAAAATATATATATTTCTATTTAGGTCCTATTGCTATTGATCAGGTAGATCCACAAGGTAATTTCATCGTTATTGAGAATGCCGGTTCAACAGGCAAAGATCAAGATATGAAAAATTGGACTATTCGTCGTAAGATCGATTCCAAAGAAGATATTGTTTATAAATTTCCAGACAATTTTGTACTTCAATCACGATCACGTATTCGTGTTTTAAGTCGAACTGCAAGTAAAGGTTCAGTTAATCAAAAAGAAACCTTAGTAGCTGAAAATGTTCCAACATGGGGTACAGGTTCGAATATGGTTACACGACTTCTTGATGCAAATGGAGATGAAAAAGCTTTATTCAATCAGAAATTCCAATAAATAAAGCAAATAAACAAATACAAAGCATTCTCGGCGACGATCAAGAAAACACCGGCTCATCCTTTTTTTTCTTTCTTTTTTTTTTCTTTGTTCCTTTTTTTTTTTATTAAAATTAGAAATGAAATTCCTTTACCCATATCTTGTCTGTTGTTCTTTCTAGACATAGAAAAGTGTGCGTGTGTGTGTGTGTGTATTTGTGTGTTTTTCGTATCTAGACAATTTGTCTCTGACTGTTATTATTATATTATCAAACTCTCTCTTTTTTTTTCTGAATTCTGTGAAAAATATTATTGTCTTTTCTTTTCTGCCATCGAACACAAGATCATTACTTCTTTTTTTCGTATGTCTTTTTAGGTTAAACCGCTTTTAATTCTTCATTTTTTTTTGTCATTTTCCTATTACTCTGCTAATAAACCAGACACACACCTACGTAGATATACATATTTGAAAAAAAAAAGAAAAAATATGATCATCCAGATGTTTGTTTCTCTTTCTCTTTCTCCTTTTTTTGTTGTTTAAGGAATAGTTGTCAATTATTATTGTGCGCGTTTTCTTTTTTCTTTAATGGGATTAATCTTATACTGTGTTTTTTGTCTATTATTTTTGTTGTTTTGTCTATTGTATTCATTTGTGCCACTTAAAAAGTTTGTTTTTTTGAAAATTCAAGCGAAAGAAGAAAAATCCAGAATAAGATATGAATTGTTCGATTCGATATAAATACCAATATAAATAAACTAGATAAAGACCTTCACAAAACAAAAAATGTCTTTTTTTCTTATTTTCAAAATATCATGATAATACTTTTAAAGGTCATGGAAAGAATTTCATCTTTAAATCTACAAGATAAAAATATCAACTATTTACTATTCTCGTGTTTGTCAATGTTACCAACAGTGACATTATCTGATAATTGCTAGACATATGACAGAATATTGACTGTCAGCATTATCCTTCTTAAGTACGAAAATAACAACTAAAATAGAGTTGAAGGAGAAATAAATAAATAGACCCATCAATCACTTAGTATATATAAGATTTTACTAAACGAACTTAGCAACAAAATAAGATGGATGATTTTAATTAAAATGTTTTTTTCATATCTAAATAATTTATTAAGATAAATATTTTGATTTTAGTAAAAAAAATAGTTTAGATAGTATTTATTTGAGTTCGTTAAGCGGTTATATGACCATGTAATGTGATACAGCGCACTTGCTGACAGAGATAAACAGTAACAACTGCTTTCCATACGTTATGATATTTAGTTATATCATCACATAGCAATAGATACTGTCATTTATGTTTGAAACATAAACAAGAGTAAATTGACTTCGAAGTGTCTATGAAAAGAAAAAGTGCATATTACATTATCTCAAGAGAAATTTTCTGTAATTATCGAAGAAGAAAAAAATCGAATGAAGTGTTGAAAAGGCAATAAATCTTATATTTTTCGAAACAAAAAAAAAGTCATTATTATTAATGTAATATTAATATTCAGAAAATTATCAAACGTCTTTGATCGGTGTTATATAAATTATAACTACTATTATCGAATATTAAATTTATTCCACGTACATATATATCTCATCTTCCATCAATAACTAAATAAATACGCGCATTTTCTATCTTCTATTCAACATGCTTAGATTTATGTTCCAATTCATTTTTATTCTCAATTATATATTTAATTTGATACAAGCAGGTTAAATATTATCGAATTTTATATTGTTTTTAATTTACAAAAAAAATAGATAATTTATCATCTCGTAATCAATGTCATTCGAATTGGCATTATATTTCCGAAGAAAGCCTTTGTATTATATTTGCAACATCCCAAGGTGGTGATGTTTCTTGGTATGATAGTTCGAAAGCTTGCCAAACAAGTTCTACACAACTTTTAACTCTTACTAATTCAAAAAAAATTCAATTAATTCAAGAAAAAGTTAATCACTTAGAAAATAATAACCAGATCGGTTTCGATTATTTTCAACATGGTGCTTGGATTGAAAAGACTAGTAAGATAATGAAAGAAAAGAAATTTATATATTTATATAGACTGGTCGAGATATGACTTATGTGACGATACAAATATAATAAATGAAGAGTTACAATTGAATTGTATTATATTAACAATACGTTCGAATGATCAATCATTATGTTTAAAAAGAGTATCATGTGAAGAACATCATCCTTTTATATGTGAAAGTTAATAATTAAAAAAGTTTGTAGATATGAAAAAAAAGATTTTTCGGTGTTTAGATGAAGCAATAACCGAAAGAGAGTTAGTTGAAAGTACTATGGAACGATTAACCTGGTGGAAATGTATTATTGCTCTATGGTGTATTCTTGATCATGAAGCTGAAAAAAGGAAGAAAGAACAACAAGCACTTGCAGCTCAAGCAGCTGAAGCTGCTAGTTTACAAGCTTATATAGAGCAATGTAAGTATAAATTCCATTATATGAATTATAAATATATGTTCGTTCATAGTTAATTTCGAAATACCTGACGATGTTGGAATAAATGGTGAGTTTTATTTCATAATTTATTTATAAAATAAAACATATTTTTACATGTACAGCTGATGCACAAGCTTTAATGGAATCAAATGGAAATGGAGCCATGCTATTCGGTAGAATAATTTCTATTATGACGAAAAATAATTTTATATCTAGGTTATTCATTACCATTCTGGGCACTTGTGGCTATCGGAGGATTTCTTTTTTTATTTATCATATGTTTATGTTGTACAGTTCTTATTTGTATTTTCATGAAGATAAAAAATGGACAATCACGACATAATCCAGCATATCGTGATGGTAGTTTTGATTCGACTTATTCTACAATATCTAGATAAATAAAGTCTAATAAAGATATTATTTTAATTTATATAAAATTGATATTTTTTCGAAGATGTTAATTAACACTTAAAGATAATTATTATGTCATTAACATGAAAATAAAAGTAGGTAGGAGATTAGATAGTTATTGTTTTCAAACTGAATGAAAAGATATTACCGAATAGTTATTACGCGCTTATTCTATTGTTCTTATTCTATGTCCTATATTATTAAGTTACTCCTATTTAATCTATTTGTGTTTATTAACAAACGATTTGGTAAGATACTTATGTATTTATCTATAATATTTTATGATTAGTTAGAGCATTTAATGAGACATGTGGAACAGATAAACCATCATGTTCTGAACCATTAAAATGTATTAGCGGATATTGTTTATGTTCAAATATTGCTCAAACAACGGATGAAAAAAATCCTCTTTCATTTTGGGTATAATTTTAATAAAAATTCGTGATTATTTATTAGATAATTATCATATTTAAAGACTGGTGAAGAATGTATGACATGTCCGCTTGGTTATACAACTACAGGTACAAAGTAAGTGAATTATATACGATGATCGAAAGACAAAAAAAGTATGCAAGTATTTTATTTAGATGCTATAATTTAATATTAGGTAAAGATACTCAATCGACTTGGGAACGTGCACGTGAACGTTGTAAAGAACATGGTGGTGATCTTCTTGTTCTACGTTCCGATCAAGAAGTAATCTAATCTATAAAATATATATCATTGAAATCTATTGATCTTTCTCTTAGTATAAATCAATATTAGCTATTCTTAAGTATAAATATGCTTCTCTTATGCTTAACATGTATCAACGAGTACCACAAGATGGTGTATATTTTGGTAGTATATGGTTAGGAGCAATGTTAACTGATTGGCGTGGTGATGGAACTTTTAAATTAGTTTCTCATGGACCTTCTTTTACAAAAAAAAGTCAATATTGGTGGTGAATTAAATTGTATAGAAAGTATCTTTTGTTTTTCTATTAACAAAAATTTAGTTCAAAAAGTTCACCGCTTGGACATGAACCAAATTATGTACAATTAAAAGCAACCGGAGAACGTCAAGCATGTATTGGTTTAGCATTCTTTCACGATGGTAATGTTTGTATGCATGATTGGTTTTGTAGTTGGGAATCACATACACTTTGTGAAATTCGTAAGTCAATTATTTAGAGATAAATAAATGTTATTATTTATATAATAGATCCACCACCACCACCACCAGCAATTGAAACATCAGGTATTTGAAAAGAACTCGTTTTTCTTTCAAAATCTAATAAAGATTTTCTTTTTTTTCCCTATATATAGAAGTGGAAGCATTGGAAGGTATGATGATGTATTGTATTTTTATTTATAGTTGATTTATTTTCAGAAAAATCTAGTAATACATGGCTTTTCGTGGGTATTGGTGGTATTTTCTTACTTCTATTATCGGGTTCAATTTGTGCTTGTTATTTTCTATGTAATAAGAAAAATGGTCGCAGACGTGCACGATCATTTGATTCAGCGGAAACTGGCATGTCTCAAAATTCATTTTACTAATTCATTTTTTCTCTTTCTTGAATTATGAAAAAATTTCGTTATATTCATATTTTTTTCTGTTATACCTATGGAAAATATATACAGATAAAAATAATATTATCATCGAAATTTTTCTACCATGCAAATATAAAATCTTAGATTAATTGTCGATAAAATATATCGTACCTTGAATAGTGTAGATATCAATAGTAATAAAATGATTTTTATCGAATTACCACAGTAAGTATAATATTTCCTGAGAAACAAACGCTATGGATTAAATTCTTGTTTGTTCGAAGAAAAGAGTCATAATGTTTATTAACGAGAAAAAATCCCACATTGTAAAAGAGGAAAATACATACTTACGTCAGTAAATGCGATTGGTATTTACCAAGTTTATTTCTCATCCGTTTACTTAGTAACTGAAGAAAGTCATTCGAGAATCCTTTCTTATTACACGTCAATAGCTATGAGTAATAATATAACTACCTGTAATATTGAATTACAGTCATGTTAAATAAAGGAAATGACACGATATTGATTTGCGATAGTGGCATAGCCAGGTTTTTTAGACTAATAGGCAAATTTCTCTTGTGTCGACAAACAACGATGGGCAAAATTTTGTAGCCCGACAAAGTACTAATAACGTAGCAAAAAGGGAGTGCATGTATGCTTCAAACTGAAGAATAAAATATAGTTACAATTTCAAAAATAAATAAACAATTTGAAAAAGGTAAATTCTAATGGAAAAAACCTTATTCATAAAGATTATAACTTGGAAGCTACCAAATGAAATGGGTAATTGCCCATTTGCCTCCTCCGTCGCTCTCCCTCCACTAGCGACGCTTCGAATTTGCGATTGTTGGATTTATTTATTCTTATTTATTTACCCATGAAGAACAGAAAAAGCTAGGAATTTTCCATCAAAAATAAAAGAAATTGGCAAAAAACACACTCAGTTTTATGTGGCCTATATATATATATGATTGCATACAGTATGTATACTTTGTTTAGCTATAACGACAAATAATTCGTGTATTTGATATTAGTTTCATGGCTGTTACAGACAAATTGAATAAAGCTCTATGGACCGAGATTACTAGACTTAAATTATTACATAAAGAAGATGCACCAGTAAGATTTTTACTTGATCAATCACCATTCAATGAATCTGAAGATGAACCGTCAACTGGACAAGCAGAATATGTGATTGTTGGACGAATATTACCCAATTCAGATATATTTAAAGAAAGTGCTTTTCAAATAGAAATTAAATTAACATCAAGCTATCCATTAGAACCACCTGAAGTTCGCTTTTTAACTCCGATTTATCATCCAAATGTTACAAAAGACGGTAAGCATAATATATTATGTACGAAAGAAATATATCCATTGAAAATAAATTAAGGTAAATTCTGTCATGCTCTATTGCTAAAAACTTCGAGATGGAAACCTGGAACAAAATTAGTCGACGTCGTTAGGGTTATTGTCGAGCATATTGACAATCCAGATATTGATTATTCTATTAATCCTGGTAAGTTTTTTATATGAGAAACTCTTCTTCCGATACATATTTTTTTCCTAATATTCATATAGAAATTGGTAGAGAATATTTGGATAATAGAGTAGAATTCAATCGCAAAGCGTTAAAAATGGTCGAACAGCATAAATTACCACGAAATTAAATTATTTTATTTTAAGAATGAACAGACATTCTACTTTTCAATCCAATGTAATTGTGTTTTTGTGATAGTAGAATAATTCATACAATCTAACAGAGTATGATAATGAAATTATCCATAACTTCTAACAGTGTGCCATGGTGTTTTTTCCTTTTCTGTTATGGTTTTATCCAACACATACACATATATATCTTTTCATCTTTCGTTCTCTCAACCTGTTGTTCCTCTCTTTCTTTGCTTTAATAAAGAGACCTTTTCCGAAGATCGTAATTTATTGAATATCAAAACGTGACAGTTTCTTGCTAACAGAAAATCTCATACTCGGAAATATATATTAAAGTCAAAATTAAAATATTATTTTGATGAATCTCGGAATAAGACTGAAACTATGAAAAATAGTGAGGATAATGAAGAGATTTTGAGGATGAGAGTGTAAGTATAAGTACTGTTTTTATTGTACTCTCACTCTCTTGCATCCTTTTTGTTTTGATCGGCGACAGAATATCTTCTGATCGATAACATGAAATACTAAACTTTCGATTCGAGCCGAATTCGATTTTATAAGGTGTTGGAAGAAGTCATACTTGTATATCTGATAAATACATTGTGTTGTTTCTTATCAACGTGTTGTGATACCCGTTGTTTTCAGAAGTAATAATTTCGATTTCACAATATGCTGTTATGTTTGACTATACAGAATATGTAAATTAAGCATTCAGATTAGACTAGGGCGTGTGTGTGGGTAAATAAAAGATGAGTTCATATCCACATTCACACCCACCCTCAAAATATACGTAGTTTTACACTCGAAACACTATTGTTTTTTTTGTTATCTGTTGAAGTGCATAACTGGAAAAAAGCTACATATGGTAATATTTGGAATATTTTAAGTAAATATAAATATAAACATATATGTAAAAAGAAAGGAAGAACGTAACGAGCTGATGTTTTTTCATTCATTAAAGTGAAGATACGATTTAGTTGATGTACCGCAAATGGTGGAAGTAGAAAATGAGTATTATTCATTTTTTTGATAATAAAGATGAATGACTGAAATGTTGGGATTTTTTATTTGAGACAAAAATTAAATCTTTATATGAAGAATAAGTAATATATGATAAAAAAAAGAATTTAATATAAGCTGATGAAATTTTTGTTTTCCTTTGTTATCTTGTTGGAGAATTATACCGCGAATAGAAACAAAATATTACTTCTTTACGTCTATCCACGTCGCTTGTTTATTTGATTTAGGTTTTTATAAACGTAAGAAGGTAAAAGTAAACTATTGGCTCACGTAAAATATGGTTATATTTTATAGATTTTAAGTTTTTTCTTATGACTTAAAATAAGAAAACTGATGCTATGATAGAATATTTTGGGCACAGATTTATAGAAAAAAAAAATTATTTTATCTCAGTGACTAAAAATAGAAGTCTTAAACATATTATATTTATTTTATTTGTTTCTAGACTATCTACATGGCAACAGAATCAAAATTAACAAAAAATCTATATACTGATATTACAAGATTAAAACTATTAAACAAATCGGATGCGGAAGTGAAATTTCTATTGTTGACTTCACCATTTACTGGTGATGAAGATGATGATGATTTGGCCGATAAAAAACGAGAAGAATATTCTATTACTGGACAAATATATCCAAATTCAGAAATATATCGGGAACGTTCTTATGCAATAGAAATAATACTAACCAAAACGTTTCCACTTGACCCACCTAAAGTTCGTTTTATCACTCCTATTTATCATCCTAATATCGAAGAAAAAGGTAAACTAATATTCCATTATTTATTTAAATATATAAATTTATCTTTAGGAGATTTCTGTAATGATTTATTGGTGAAAACTGCCAGATGGACACCTAGAACTTCATTAGTGGAGATTGTGAAAATCGTTGTGAAACATGTTGATGAACCTGATGCAGATAATCCAGTTCGAGCTGGTTAATATTCATCTCTTTATTCATCATTTGTCTTATTTCTATAATTTATTCTTTGTTTGTTTAGCATTAGGTGTTGAATATAAAACTAATCGACCTAAATTCAATCAACACGCATTAGAACATGTCCAAAAATATGGATTACCAAGATGATAGATTTCTTCTTTTTTCAAATTGATTTTTTTTCTTATAAAGCATTATTCTTCTATTTGTCTTGTTTTGTTCATGTATATGTCGTAGAATATATATGTAGGTACATTTTATACAAATACTTACTTTCATCATTACACGAAGCCGACAATATCTGTTATAGAGATGATGTTTTTCATTAATATACACACATGTTTGATATATTAAGGTTGATTATGTACAGAATATAATGAGAACGCATCATTGAATACTGATTATTTACATGACATTTAAACAAGGCTTGTATTGTTAATAGTATATATGATACCATGTCTAGACAGTGCATAGCTTTAATTGTTTATAGATGTCATGTCATCAGTCAAAGTTTGGTTGTATTTATTATAGAAGACTTACGGATATCTTTACAGTCAATGATGTTTTGAATCAAAAAATATTCGATTGTATTATCATTTGAAATCTATCGATATCATCTGTGGCTTATTCATGTAGACTTTTCGAATACGTAATTACTTGTTTTAATCGATAGATATTGATCAAGCAATGAATGTAAATTTTTGTATATGGTTGAATAAAAATTAATCGATGGTATGGAAACAAAATCATATATGTAATTATCATACATGTTTTAAACTAGACATGTCGTAAAGATGAAACATACGTTTATATTTAGTTCTATCAAAATAACTCGATATAATCTACAGAATAAGATATAGACGAGATTTATCAAAGTTTCGTAACTTGAGTTGTAAATCATACAAAGTCAATATAATTACACTATTTTAGATTTTATTTATTTCACGTAATACTGTTTTATAATGAAATAGAACAAAATAATTCGTCTTCTCTCTAGAAAAATTTAATCTGCGTCATTTTTATTATAAAAATTCATGATGTGTACAGTTTATGGCTTTTTTTTAGGCATAACATATTTTCGAAGAGAATAAATATGTACAAAGCGATATTTGCGACTGATGAACATTTGACTTTGTCGGATGTTTTCATTTCTTATTTCGACATTTTTTTATTAATTAAGTATTAGAGATGCAAATTTTAAATATTAATGTAGATATTCTAATACTATCTTGATCTGCTGTCTCATAAATTTTAATATAGAACACCCACACTCTTTTTCTAACATAAATGTCGCAGATTTAAATCGTCCGAAATGCTTTTATTATAATTTATTTACTTTATTAAACCATTGTCAACAACAAAACTGATAAAATAAGGCTGCTATTTGTATTATTTCTCTTTGATGACAGTCTTTTCTTTTAATATTCACTCAATCTTTCGGCGAAGAAAAACTGTTTGCTTTTTTTTCAAAATAAAGTTGTTATTCTATAGGTGCAGTAAATATTACGACTATGAATCATAAATTTTGTCCACGTAAAAGAACGAAATATATTTGTTTTTTGTTATTGACACGAAAAAGTTGAAAGTAAAACAGTATGATGATTCAGCTTTCACCAAGAATTTACGGTAATTTTTTTAGATTCTTAAAAAAATGTCTGAGTCAACGTTAAACAAAAGACTCTATACTGATCTTAACAGATTAAAATTATGTAATAAAGCCGATGCAGAAGTTCGATTTCTATGTGAGAAAACACCATTCGACAATGATGATGATGATGATGATGATAATATGTCGGGTGATGCTGCAAAAGCAACTGAATATTCAGTTATTGGACAAATATTTCCAAATTCAGAAATATATAAAATAGCTGCGTATCGAATTGAAATGAAATTACCCAAAACTTTTCCACTTGTGCCACCTCAAGTTCGTTTTCTTACTCCTATTTATCATCCTAATATTGAAGAAAAAGGTAAACTAATATTCCATTATTTATTTAAATATATAAATTTATCTTTAGGAGATTTCTGTAATGATTTATTAGTGAAAACTGCCAAATGGTTACCCACAACCTCGTTAATAGATATTGTGAAAATCGTTGTGAAACATGTCGATGAACCTGATGCAGATAATCCAGTTCGAGCTGGTTAATATTCATCTCTTCATTCATAATTTGTTTTATTTCTATAATTTCTTCTTTATTTGTTTAGCATTAGGTGTTGAATATAAAACTAATCGACCTGAATTCGATCGTCATGCATTAGAATATGTTAAAAAACATGGCTTATCAAGATCATAGATTTCTCGTCTTTTCAATAACTATCCTTGAACAACTTTTATAATTACTAACACTTTTCGAATCTAATAATTATTTGTTTAGTGTAAGGTATTTCTCGATTTAATTAATTGATACATAACTATTGATTAGAAATATGTATCAATGGAAATAGTTATTTGATTTAATCGATAGATATTGATTATTTTAAATATTTGCTCATCAAACGTATGTTCAATGTGATAACACACACATAGAAGCATTCGATAAGTTTAATGAATGTTCCCAGAAAGACACAAATTGAAAAAAGTTTTGTTTTGTGGTATAAAACAAAATAGCTAGTACAAAAATTTTACTTTAACTTATAAATATCCGTAGCGACAGATATATAGAAATCTAAAAAATGATGTCGCTGGTTTATTACTTTTTTTTATCGTTTTACCTTTTTTATTTTATTTATTTATTTTACTTATTCTTTTCTGTATTCGTCTGATATTTCAACGAATGGCATAAATTGTAAATTTATTTTCCTTCCTCAGTATATGTATCGCAAGTTGGAAATTTAGAACAACATGTGATGAAAATCAAGTATGAATTATCTGTTCTTTTAAAACGAAGAGAAATATGATTTATTTTTTATTACTATCGCTTTAAGCAAAGTTTTTATTGGTTTTTCAGATTTGAACAAAATAATGTCTGGACCAAAACTGAATAAAGCTCTCTATAGTAATATCAGTAGATTGAAACTATGTAATACACCTGACGCACCAGTAAAATTTATAGTTGATGAAACACCATTCGACAAGGTTGATGATGATGATGAGGATATGTCGGGTGATGCTACAAAAGCAACTGAATATTTAGTTATTGGACGTATATTACCAGACTCTGACATATATAAAGAACGTGCATATCAGATTGAAATGAAACTAACGCGAACGTTTCCATTAGATCCACCTGACGTTCGTTTTCTTACACCAATTTATCATCCTAATGTAGCAAAAGATGGTAATTTCGGCTATAAAAATTTTCAACAAAAATATATACATATGTTTTTTTTTCAGGTAAATTCTGTCATGAGTTATTGAAAAAGACGTGCCAGTGGACACCAGCTACATCTTTGGTCGATGTTGTTAAAGCTGTTGTACATCAAATTGATCATCCTGATCTTGACTATTCATCTAGTTATGGTTAGTTTTTTGTTTATTATAATTTGCTTTCTTGAATTTTGCTTTTATATTTAGAATTAGGCAGACAATACAAGGAAGATCCTGCTGAATTTAAACGTAAAGCAACAGAATATGTCACGAAACATGGCTTATCACGAGTTTAACCCGTTCTCTTTAATAAATCCTATGTATTTTTTCAACGTTTTTTTTGATTTAAATAACACAGAAAAATCTTCTTCAAACTCTAAAATCAATAATATAATAATACAAAAAAGAATTCTATATTCAATACTTTATATTTTTAATAAAGCATATAATTACTAACTATTATTATATGTTCGTAATATTTCAAATACAAAATAAGTATCTATTCAAAAAATATTATGTCATTAGCAGAAGAATAAAGATTTTTTGACAATTATATACGAGCAATGTGTTCTAATTTAGGTGCTTATATTCAATATAATGTAGTCGAAAAGTCATCGAGTAGTCTTTGATTGCGAATAATTTTGAACAGAAACAAAATATAGTCTTGCAGTTTTTACCGTCGGAAAGAAAAGATGAAGGTGTATCGATTCTTCCGACGGTTTTTTTCTTCATGCTTCACGAAAATCATCTAAGATCTTTCAGCAAAAACTCTTATAACTCCAGAGTGGTTAAATCTAAAGATACGGATTTTAAATGATACGGTAATTTTGGAAAGCTTTCAAAGTATTTAGTTCCTATCTAAATTTATTCACCATTAAAGACTATATGGTGGCTTTTGAATCACCTTATTTTATATAATGATTATAATTCTAATACTTGTTCTTATCTTCTTGTAAAACGATGATGAGGTTAAAAGGATGTCATTCTATTTTACCTTAACACATTCCTGATACTTTCTACTATAATAAATAACTAGAGAAATGATTGTTTGTATAGTGAAGAGGAATTTTCATCAGACTAAATCAAAAATCATTATATGTGAACAAGAATACTGATAAATTATTAACGGATGTTATTTTGATTGATAGAATATAAAATTCGAAAGTAGATAAAAGGGTATACAGATTTTACATTTGAAATTATTTTATCTTGCATATTGAGTACTATAATAAGATAAGTTAAACATGTTTAGATTGGCAGAATTGAAATTCATCGTTTGTCATATACAAACATAGTTTCCAAAAACAATCACACCTACTTTGACCTAACTGTAATATTCATGGTTCTATTTATACTGTCGAAAATCAATTGAGTAGAACTTAGTTACAAAAATTTTTGAATCTAGAAGATTGTAGGTAAGAGTAATGACATTATTTTGAGCTGAAATTTAAGCTACAGATAGTTGTATTTGTGATATAACTCTGAAAGGAACACCCAAGGGTATATATCTTTTATGTTTTTTCATACCTCAATGAGGTATGATTATCACCAATAGGCGAAGTCTAAATGACTTGATCACCTCAATGTATTTCCTCATGAGTCATAGAAACTATTGTTATTTCTAAATGATATTTTGAATGTTATCGATCATCCTGATTTATATCGTTCAGTTAATGAATGTTTAGTTTTCTTTATTTTAAATGTAGCCAATGAATATTTATATATAAAAAAGAAGCACATTTTTATTAAAACTAATTAATTATAATCCACAAGTTTCACAAAGCTTTAATTCATTATTCAGATGTCAGATTTTGTTTAGAAGAGAGATGCATCCAACAATTACTTATTAAATGGATTCAAGCAAAAAGTCAAATTTAATATAACTCGAGGTACTATATTTTTAATAGAAATAATACTTTAGGTACTATACTGAATAAGGGCAATATTATTTATTAACTTCCTTTAATTATTCAATGATTTAATCATAATATATATATACTTATTTTTTTCTCATCATCATGAACGGAAGTGGTAACAACATGAGAATAAAGCAACAAAGGAAGGTAAAGCATTGTATTATTCCATGTCCTTCGAGATGGCTTTTTTCAACACTTAATAGAAGATCGTTTCTTTTGTCACAAATAAAAACATCAGTTGAACTTTTATATTTAGTTATGGAAGCAATGGTACACAATATAAACAGAGATAGAGTAGTCATTTATAGATCATAAAAATCATCCAAACGAATGATTAATTGAAATCTACCGATTGCGAAATTCGATATGAAAAACAATATAACCATTTAAATTTGTATGGTTTATTCCAACCATTTTATTTTTATTTGAAATTATTTCATTTACAATGTTTGTCATAATGTATATAGATACCATAGAATATAGCGACTTTATTATATAGAAAGAATGTTGATTATTTCATTGGTAGATGGTTTTTTTCTTTTCATTCGTTAGTCATATAAAGTCATTTTTTTTGATAAAAAAAAGTCCAAAGAAACGAGTTTTTTTCCTTCTTTATTTATTAAACTTACTTATTACATTCTGCATATCTCTCTATGACTTAACTTATTTTTACTGTCTCCCACTTTTTTCAAAAACAATGTTTTCAATATTGTCTTTTATTAACAATAACGATGCTTATGTAAATCCATAATTGCACAATCATTTGAAAATATCCCTGTGAATAATATTTTTGTCATTCAATATTAACATATATTTATCAAGCGCTGCAGACATCTACCTTGTAAAAAAATGCACCTATATAATTACATAGAAAAAAAACTTGACAGACATAGCAGTGAATGGTTAGTAACAGACTTTTGATTTTATTTTTTATTTTAGATAAAATAATTTATTAAAATGTCAGGAGCAAATCGACGTATAATGGCTGAAATAACAAGACTACAAGCTTTAGGAACCAACAATGATCCATCATCTGTTAAATATATTCTCGATAAATCACCACTTGATGATGCACAATCAAATTTAATTCTCGGAAGAATTTTACCTAAATCAAATCCCTATAATCAAGCAGCTTTTCAAGTCGAAGTAAAATTACCAGCTGAATATCCATTTAAAGCACCTGAAGTTCGTTTTATTACACCTATCTATCATCCAAATGTTGATGATAAAGGTAAAATATGTGTTGATTTACTTAATCAATCTGAAACATATAAGCCAACAACTCCATTAACCGATGTGATCAAAGCTATTGCAAATCTTATTGATAGCCCAAACATTGAACATGCACTTAATGCTGGTAAAATTTTATTTTCTATTTAAATAAATTTTCACACTTCATTTTTATAGAAATAGCTGCTGAATATACACAGAATAAATCTGCATTTGATCGTAAAGCATTAGACATGGTTAGGAAACATGGCCTACCAAGAACATAAACTTTCCATATTTCTTCTTTTCAGTTTCTTTTTCTAAATTCAATTGTTATCTGATTTTAATACGTGTGAAAAAAAAAATACCATTCATGTGTTTAACAACTTATCAACTTTCTTTTTTTTGCGTAAACAAGCAGTTTAGAGGTCAGCATTCTATTTTTTATTATTCACGAATTATAACACAAAAAAAAAGCATTAATAAAAGACAAAGAACAAAAACGTCATATGACGATGTTTTGTTTTCGTTTATATAATTATTATTGTTTATTGACATAAGAATATTTACTCCATTTTTTTCTAAATTGTTTTTATTATTCCGAGAAGATTTTATAAACAATACGGAATATTGATTGAAAAAATAATTTTATCTATAATTACTGCTCATAGCTAGAAATCAAATATTTATATAATAGTATCAATAATATTTCGAATCTTCCTATAATGGAAAAGGAAAGTAATTCTATATTTTACTTTTAGATGGCATCAAAACATATTCGTTTATTAAAAGATCTTGCTCGAATTGATGAAACATTTCAATCGAATCGTCTTTTTTATATAAAGAAAAAAATTGATGCAACAACAAATGATGCTATTCATGATACAGATTTAACACATCCAATATTGATTTATAAACCAGAACAAAGTCCTTATGTTGGTGGAGAATTTGAATTTGAAATTAGTCTACCACTTGATTATCCATCAACAACACCACGTGTTAAATTTCGTACACCGATTTATAGTCCAATTGTGGATGAATCCGGTGCCTTATCATGTTTACCTATACTTCAACGATGGCAATCATATCCGATAAATTCTATTCAATTTCGTGATATACTTACTGAAATTGATTATTATATAACACATTTAGAAGATGTTGATGAACCTCACCGTCCAGCTTTACTCGATGAATGGAAAACCGATCCTGTTGCTTTTACAAAAGCAGCTGAACAACACACAAAAGAATTAGCAAAACCACAAAAACGATAAAAACGAAATTCCATTTTATTTTTAATTCTAGTCCATATTTATTGTTTTATTTAATTGTTGTCTTGTATGTATTGTATATTTCTAGATGAATGAACTTGACATGAATGAACAAAGAACACATGCCACTTCAACGTGGCGTGTTTTTGATGATATTACATATAAGTATGTGACAGTTTTTTATTAAAAATTTTTTCAAATCTACAAGACTATTGTTTTTCTCTTCGTTTATAGAAAAATTGAAGGAAATACAGTCACTGATTTTCTGGCAATAATTCGAGATGCTCGTAGTGCAACGGAAGATACGATAAAACCATTTGTTACTATGGCTCCATGTGGAGGACCAATTGGTAAGCGATTAATTGACTTTGAAATATATCTATTAAAATAAATTTATTTTAATTAGCATTTGTATATAAAAAATCAGAAGCAAAATCAAATGATACTAAATATACGATAATTATAGACAATTTACCAAATCATCGTCCTCAAGTTAAACAGGTTAGTAAATATTTTCGCTCATTTTTTTTATTTCTTTAAAATAATACTTTAGTTTGATCGAGGTGTTGTAGTATTTGTCGACTGGACAATTAATGAAGATTTATTATTAGTAACAGAAGATGGAAAATATCATATCATTGATATCTTCTTTTATGATTCAAATAATGACAAATCAAGACAACTTAGTGAGGTAATTATTGTTATCGAATCAGTTCAAATTATACATACTCATCATAACTAGACAAAAAGTTGACTAAACATGAATCGATCCTTTATGTACTACATTTGAATCGATCTATCAATGAAATACTAGTAATTCGTGTTGTATGATAGTTCTCGAAGGTATCGACCATATGTAAATCTCCATTTGTAGATTAGATGATTCTTCATATTCACATAGAGCACCAAAGTTAAACATTGATGATATATACGAACACGCAAAACGGAAAGAAAAATCTGTATGTACAGATATAAAAGAGATTACAAGCAGAATATTGCGGCTATAGGATTCTAGTAAGATGATATTCTTTTTCGAATAATCAAAGAATATACTTATGACAGTTTTGTCCAATAAGTGGGTTCTATTGAATTAATATGCCTGTAGCTTGGTAAACCAAATACTAGGATGCATATATACGTCATAACTTAACAAAAGTATCGTGTGCACACACTTACAAATTTCTTTAGAAGAGAATTTGATTAAACAGAATTTACTAATTGAAGTGAATATTTATATCCAGAAAAGAATACATAATTAAGATAGATATTTGTATGATGTTAATGCTAATGTCAAAATATTATGTTAATCCTTTAATCTGGATACAAAAGTTTTAATATTAAAAAATAATTACTTTACTTAAAAAATTTCGAAATAAATTCTTCTTAACTCTAGTCTGTATCAACAATAACCAGTGCGTGTACATTCAAAAGCAATCAAGGTACAGGATTAGTAGCATTAACGAAAAATCAAGAAAGTTTTATCGCCGTAAAAAATGTTTATAGTCCAATTATTCAAATGATTACACTTGGTAGAAAAAAATAATTATTAAATTTAAATTTATCGTTCTTTTTTTCTATTATCTATATAATATTAGGCGTAGATATTCGTTCACCAATATCAGCATGGTGTGTAATCGATCATGCAGATATAACAATTGCTTATGCATATGATAATAATATAGCAACATGCAGTGCTACGTCATTACGACGAGATCAAGTAGAGAAAAAAAATTTATGTTAAAATTTAAACTTTCAATTATTTTTATTAGCAAACCATTCCTGGAATTACGGATGTCATAGTTAAATTAGTATCGAGTAGTAATTATAAAAGTATTGCAATGTTAAAAGATAATGGTGATGTATTAATTGGATTAAAAGAAAATATTGGACAACCACAATCATTTATATTAAAATATACATGTAATAATAATAAAGTCAAAATTACTGATATTGCTTGGTAGGATAATAAAATTTTATGGAAAGAAAAAGTAATAAAAATTCTTAAAGGTCTGGTTCAGATACTGTCATAGGTATTCGATCAGCTTCAAAAACTTGGTTTGATTTACTTGTTATCAATGGAAAACATTCATTACCAATGACGTTTGTATATCTTATTTTCATTCTTCATTTTACTTTTTTGTATTATTTTAGAGAAAAAAGTCGACAAGCAATAACTGATGATACGTTAGTATTAGATATTTATATATACGTTTGAAGATTGTTGGCGCATAGTAAACTTATGAGAGAAGGTCACCCGTAGACTTCAATGAGGTATGAAAAACCTCAAAAGAATTTATTCCCTCATGCTTTTATTTTCGAGACATGATTATTTAACTCATATCTCGTGAAGAAAGCATCCGTTTTGACTGAAACTTTAGGCGCATTCTAGGCATCATTAGATCCATTTACGGGTGAAATCCCGTACAATCGACCGAACATTCAGTGAAATAATCATATCTCATTGAGGTCTACTGGTGACCAAAAGGTAGAGTCTAAACGGCTAGAACACTTGAGGGACATCCCTCGTTAGTAAATTGATTAATCCAACTCACCACAAGACTCTAGCTTTCATTGAAATGCTTGACTTATAATTTAGATCTATCACGAAATAATTTTATTAGTAGACTACTCTAACAACAGTATTTATCGAAGAGCTTGAATTACTCTCATCTGTAGAACATTGGAGCCTTCGTTATAGTTCTTACATGATTGTAATACTGATTATTATAATCCTCTTAGTAAATAAAAATATTTTTCGAATATAATTTCTTTAATTATAGTATGTGTTATACTTCAACTGTATGGTTATCGACTGAAATTGATGGTATACGAATAATATCTGGTCGAGCACTTGATTTCTTCCAACGTTTACCAGATGAAATCTACAAAGTTTTAGATCTTATGTCAAAAAGTCCAGGTGCTAAACTTTACGAAGCTTATATGTATTATAAAGTAAATTTAATTTGTAATTATCTTTAATAGAAAAAATTATTTTAACAAAAATCTACTTATTTTAGTATGAAAATCAAATGGCTGAAAGATTTCTTCAAGAATTAAAATCATCCGGATCAAGCTATGGACTTGAAGAAGCTGTTAAAGAATGTATAGCAGCAGCATCTAATGAACATGATCCACCTACTCAAAAACTTTTACTCAAAGTATAATAATTAATTTCTAAAAGATTATAAAATATATTTTCTTTTATCAAATAGTCTGCACTCTTTGGTCGTTCATTTTTATCTGTTAATTTAAGTAATCCAACAGCATCAATACGTCCAGCTGTATCAGTAATTAATGATTTATGTACAAATACAATTCGTAATTTACAGCTAGTTAATAATTTACAACATATTAGTATTTCTATACTAATTACATATAAACAGTTAGATATATTTATTATGATATTTTTGTAAATGATTCAACTGTTGTTTTGTATAGATTTGAATTGCTTGGTACACGTATACTTATTGATCGTTTACTTCGTCGTAATCTACATGAATTTGCTACATGTGTAACAAAATTATTACGTATGCCTGCTGAAGAAGGTGAAAATCGTATTTTAGTACAATGGGCTGTACAAAAAGTTAGTTTAAAGAATTCTTCGATATTTATAAATAATTATATCTAGCTCAATGATCCTGCAAATACTAATGAAGAACTTATTGCAGATACAATTAGAGTTCGCCTTGCTGATGTACCTGGCATTCCATTTATTGATATTATTCGAGCTGCATATACTGCAAAAAAATTCATTGTTGTCGAACGAGTACGAGATCATATATGAATATTTTTTCTTATTATTAAATAATAATATAATTTTATTTAGTTACTCGATGTTAAAGTTAGTTTAAGTGATCAAATTGATATGTTATTAACGTTGAATAAAAAACAAGAAGCTTTACAAAAAGCACTTTCTTATGGTGATACTGATTTAGGTAATTAATTGTTCTTGCTTTAGTTTTATTTTATGTATTCATATTCTTTAGCTCTTTATGTCCTTATGCGTATGAAATCAAGTAGTGGTGTGAATTCTACTGATTTTAATTTACAATTAGCAAAATTGAAATCATTACCATTAAGTTTGTTATTACAAGTAAGAAATTATAATAAGCGAAGTTTTTTTTTTCTTATAAACGAATTTTTCGATTCATTTTTATTTGATCGATTTTTACTTTAAAATTATTTAAGTATCTCTCAATCAATGTAATTTTTACGTGAAAGGCGACTACAAATGTTTAATCCAGGAATGAAAGATTGATTTTTGGCTTGAATTCAAGCCAATTAGAGACCTGTATCGGAGTCAACTAAATCTCATGCCTATCATTCATTTTTTACATTAAATTTGTTTTGAGGTGAAGGTTTTGTTTTCTCTACAAACTGACGTATTTTGAGAGTTCAAACCAATGTTTTATTGAGGTTCATGGACACAAAAGAAAGTTAGATGCATGTCTCTAACTGGCTTGAATTCGAGCCAAAAATTGATTTATACGGTACTCAACAGAATTCGATAGAGAAAATTTTTCTCTACAAACCTACATATCTCTCATTCCTGGGCCAAAGTTTGTAGTCGCGTTTAAATCTTCTTTTTTTTGTTTCATTGATATATTTAAATAATTGTCTTTTTAGTGTTTAGAAGAACGTGATCGAAATAATTTACATGATGAAATGCGAAAACAAAATTCTGGTGAACGAGAACGTATTGGTTATTCACATATTGTTCAAAGATTTACAACAGCTCTTGTAAGTTGTATTGAATAAAAATATTTTATTATTTTTTTGTCTTCAAAAGACAACATCTGATCAAAAAAGTGAATTAACAAGTGCATCAAAATTATTTCGTGAAATTAAAAATGATTCTTCTGCTCAAGTAAAAATTAAATAGTTCGATAGATATTGATTATACTGTTTTTTTTCTTTCTAATTTTTAAAGTTAGTTGATGAAGAAACTCGTTTAATAACAAAACAAGATGAACTTGAAAAAAAATTACAAACTATACAATTAAAAGGGTTCTCATTAGTTGATACACTTGATTTACTTATTATTCATAATGAAAGAGATGCTGATCTCTTACGAAAAGAGTTTAATATTAGTGATAAAAGATATTGGTGGATTAAAATTCAAGCCTATGCAAAAAAAAATGCATGGGTACAATTACTTGAATTTGGAAAAAAACCAAGTTCACCTATTGGTTATGAAGTAAATATAATGATTAATTAGGAAAAATTGATAATTTATAATTATTATTTTAGCCATTTGTTGATGTCTGTATTCGATCACAAAAAATGGAGGAAGCTCGTCGTTTTCTTGATCAAACTATTTATTCATCAAAGCTTGATCATGAACGTATTCCATATATGTTTGCGAAAGTTCAGTAAGGAATTATTTAATTCTAAAATTCTATATTGAATCGTTTGTTTCGATAGAATGGTTGATGAAGCAATAAATTCCGCAATAAAATTACGATCAATTGATGCTTTACATTTTATTGAATCGAAATGTCAATTAAGTGAAGCAAATTCAACTAAAATTCAACAAGCAAAAGATAAATTACAAGATTATGGTGTTAATCCATTAAAAAATGTCTTTAGTTTTTTAAAATCATAGTAATCGAACCGATAAATAAAAAACAAATTAATTTTGATTGTAGCAATGATTCTCTTCTTCTTTTTTTTTACATGTTGATTATTTAATAAAAAAAATTTTTTTTTAAAACGAATAAAAGTTAGTATCGTTGTCGAGATTCAATATTTTATGTCTACAAATGATTATCAACGGTAAATAGAAATATGCTCAGTGGAAAAAAAATAAAATAGTACATTGAAGTCAAGTATATTCAAATAAGTAAACGCCCTTACGACCTGTGAACTATAAACATTAATAGAAGACCATGTGTTGGGGGGCTTTATAATATGTTATGTAAATCAATCCAATTCAACAGAAAGTAACTTTAAACCGCCTTAGACGTAATATTCTTAATTAAGAAGATGTTTGAACATGTCTCATTAGATATGTTCTTCATTGTTAAAGAAAACTCTGTCGGCGAGACACGCGTTTAGATGTACTTTTTTTTATGCATCATGCTGTGAGGTGCCAATACGTGCATAATAGTCAATATACATTCGTAAGTTTATATTATAGGTCATTTTGATACTCGTGGAAAAAAAAGAAATATTTTAAATGGAAAAATTATTAAACAGAACGCTGAAAAAAAATCATTTAACAATTATTATGATGAAATGTTTTTTTTAGCCAGACAGATGAATTTATAATGAAATTAACCATAGTTGTCTTTTTCTAATTTAAAATATATTCATCACATTATGTTACTTTTTTTAGTATTTGCAGCAAATGTTTACAAGTAATATTCTAAGAAAGTCAGAAAAAAATATTATTCTTTAAATAAATTAATCAAAGTCTCATATTTAGAAATATTTAAGTGTCACTTTTCTTTTTCTACATCCATCAGTACTAAATAATTTAGTTTTTATCATAAACAAGATATTATCTAATTTCCTTTGAAAGTCTATATAAATTTAAATTCATAATTTAGAAAATCTTATGAATATAACAATATCTATTCAAAAAAAAAAATGAAATATACATATACTATTATTATTCAATTGAATCAAAGAGTAGCCCATCACGAATTATTGCATGTTAACATTATTATTATTACTATTCAAGCATAAAACATGTGAGTGCGTGAGAAAACTTACAGTGATAATAACTGATCTTTTTACTAGATTTTTCCAAATGATTTATAATATGAGTAGGTAATAGTACCTAAAGATTAGTCATTACTATATATCACCTTCAATTATTTCTAATATTCTAACGCTTAACATATTTTCAAAGAAAAAAAGAAAAAAAAACAAATGATAATAATTAGTTTTATGAAATCTAAAGTGTTCTAATGAGAGAAAAATATCATCCATGCATAGACGTATCCAAGTGAGTTGTTAGTTGAAATATAATTCTAATGAATGAACTTATTATTTTATTTCTTTTCATGGTCGTATAATGAGAAAAATATTCTTAAATAACAAAAACATATATTTCATGTCATAACACAGTTTTATCAACACTTTTTTTTGTTACTACGTAGTAAATAAATACTGAATATCGAATAGAGAGAGAAAAAAAAGAAATCTTTATTTAGTATTGCATGTGAACCATTCATTACATGATTAATAGAAGACTCACAAATAGGAAAAGATCAGACGAGTGGAAAATATTCAAGCTATATATTCATCAAGAAATGAGCAAGAAAGAAAAAACCTCAACTGTTCGACCATAATAAATAAATCTTATACTGATGATTTCATCCATTTTCTTTTATTAATATTCTTAGAAAGTGAAGTGATTATCATTTTCTTTTCTCGCTCTCTCGTTCTTCGCACTCTATCGGATGCCAATTACATCAAGTTTCAGGCATTTTATATTTCATCTACTTTGTCTTTTTCTTATACTTAGACTGCAATGTATATACACACACATATATATATATAAATGTATGTACTTTATTATATATTGATCGGCATCATTATCGAGAATAATAGCACACACAATATGCTTATATAATAGCATGTAGAAAAGTATAATGCTTGTACTTTATGAGTATGCGTGCATTTATTTAAAAATCCGTTTCTAATGTTGTTGACAGTTTAGTGGTTTCCATTTTTTTTCCCTAGTATATTAAACTGAATGAGAAAGAAAAAGAAAAAAACTAGAAAACATCTTTTTCTTTAATAAGAAAAAAAAGGTGTTCGTCGGAAGAAAGAAAAGGCAAGTAGACTGTAGATTGGGAGAAAATATGCTGTTTAAGGTGCATATTAGTCTTTCAAATCAGTATTTTAGATAGACTTATATTATAGATTGCATGTTGAAAATGTATGGTAAATAACTGTTTCTTTCTAATAATATTTTGATATGTAAATGTTTACGGTTAGTCAAATTAATTATAATTGAAAAAATAAAGTATTGATCGTGTGTTTTAACAAGAATATTATGTTAAATATATATAATTTTATGTAAACAGTATATTCGAAATATATGCAACAATGGTAAGAACGTTAAGTAAGAAGAATAGCCACAAGTGAAAATGAACGCTAATTGAGTTTCTTACAAAGGAAGAGAACTTTTTGTGAATTGAACTGGAATTTACCTAATAGGTCTTACCGAATGAATGTTTGTGTCGTATTTCACAGTTGATAGAGAGGAAACAAAGTGCGAAATTAAGTATTATTAAAGTTATTCGGTTAGATTTTATTTATTAAACCGTTAAAACTAATAAATAAAAATTTTCTATAGATTTTTTTCTAGATTTAATAAAAAAAAAATGTTCAATTTACTTGATGGACAATTATTCAGTAATGTTGTTTCACGTGTGGAGCAATCACGTTTTTCATATACTTCACAAAATGAAGAATTTCATAATCTTAATACAAATCTTCAAACATATCTAAATGATATTAAACGAATTGATGATGAAAATGGTGAATTACAAAAAACAATTGAACAAATACGTACAAATTATATTTTAACATTAGAAAATCATTTACAACGTTTACCCGAAGATTTTCGAGAAGAAAGTCGAATATTAACTGATGCTCATCTTGAACGTTATAAATCAAAAACACGTGCTAAACGTTTTATTAATCAACGTGAAGAATTTAAAAAACGAATTACTTTTGTTGCTAATAATGAAAAAGAACAAGTTAAATATATAAATTATTTACAAAAACAAGAACGTTCAGTTCAAAAAGAATTGAAAGTTTTAAGTGATCAATTTCAAAATTTATATAAATCTATTGAAAGAGAAAAACAAATACATCAACAAGCCATGGATAAAGTCGATCAATTACAAATTCAACTTGAACAAATTTGTATTGAACGATCAAAAACCGAAGTAAATTTACCAAAAACAAAAAAAACTATATATATATTTAAAATTTCTTTGTTTCGATTTAGTTTGAAATACAAAATTTACGTGAAGAAGTTAAATTAATGCAAACAGCAAAAGAATTTCTTAATGATGAATATGAAACAATATTATCAACACAAACTGAAGCTAATGAATATTTTATATCATGTTTAGATGAATCAATAATAAATATACGTGAAGATTTTGATGATTTAAACAAACGACAACTTAAACAAGTTGAAAATGAATATAAACAAATGATAAAAATTCTCGAAGAAAATTCTTTAACTACAGCAAGTATCAATGAAACAACAATGAATCATCAACGTAAAACACAATTTGAATGTGAAAAACTTCAAGATGAACATCAATCCATAACACAAGAATTAACAACACTTAATGATCATAATCAAATTTTATCGGAACGTATTTTTGCTATGGTAAAATTTTTGTCGATAAAAAAAACAATTTCTATTTAAAAAAAATATTCTTATAGGAATCAGATCTATTTACAATACGTGATGAACATATACAAGATTTAATTATTAAAGATGATGAATTAGAACAAAGTAAAAATGAATTACAATCATTACATAATAAATTAAGTCATTTAACGGAATATGATCGAAATTTAAAATTTGAATTAACACTTTATCGAGGAGTGTTAGAAAGTGAACATCGTCGAAAACAACAACAACAACAACAATCAAATAATAATCAACAACTGGCGCGGCCAACTATATTACGTACTACAATTACACGGAATAATAAGAATGTTCCAGTAAGTATAGAAAATAAAAGAATATATGTATATATTTTTTTTGTTTTTGAAAGGTTTTGACAAGTCATAATCAATTTGAAACCATTAATGAACAAGGTAATAGTATATTTGAAGTAACTATATCGAAAAAGAATCATATTATCGATGAGAAAAATAAAAATCAACAAGAAGATAACTTGTCACGACCGTGGAAAAAATCTTTTATTGAAGATGAATTCGAAAATATGCAATCTACAAATACTAATTCACAAGGAGAACGACAAATATCAAAATCACCGATTTTAATAGTTTCGCCAAAGCAGCAATTCTCTCCAGAAGTTCAATTATCTACGAAAAATTTTGAGACATTGGTAACTAATGACTCGCCATCACCAGATCAATCAAACTCATTGAATGATGATCAAACATCACCTGAAACTTCGAATCTTCCGACATCTTTAGCTGATGAAGATCAACAAACTAGAATAGATAATCAAAAACTATCAACTACTCCACCATCTACTATTCCAGAAAATTTAAGTGAAGTACAAGAAACGTCCACTTCTCCAGCTGATTCTGAAAAACAACAAATATTTTTAAAAGACTCTCAATCTTCTCTTATACAACCAGAAGATGAGCACGAATCTTCAGCAGTTGATCAATCATTCACCACATCTCAAAAAGATGAAGAAAAATCATCTACAAACTCTCCAGTGAATGGAGAAACTTCTTTAATAACAGAAAATAATATTGTTCAACCTTCAAATCAGTCGATTTTATCTGATGATCATCGATCGTTATCTAACTCTCAAGAAGAAATTCGACATTCATCTTCAATATCATCAATCGATGAACAAAAGCCTAAAACATCACCTATGACCACAACTGAAGCAGCAGCAGATCTATCAGTTTCACTTGATG